CGCTCTTCCCCTACTTTGAACATGCTCTTCCCATTGATTTTAGAGGAAGATAGTCTTCACTAAGCTCAATTTAGTCTTTAAATAACACCAAAGAGGTTGCATTTTTTCCACGCTTACTTGGCTTGCTGCAGCTGTTTCTAGGGATTCTGATGTCATGCACAGTATTTACTGTAAATGCTCAGCTAGCTCTGTAAATATTATTTGTAATTTTAAATTACTTTTTATAAAATGAGGGATCACAGGACAGTGATGGCATATTCGATAGCAAATGACATTTTACTTTTGCACCACATCGAAGGTATTGCATGAATTCTTGAAGTGATTCTCAAACTTGCTGTGCTACCTATCTATGTTTATGTGGCTACAAAATGAACCATGAAATTATTCCAGACATACGTTCGTTGGTTGTTTTGAAGGAACCTTACATCAACAGCTATAAAAAGACAAGGGAGAGCTGCAGACTCTGTGCTGGAATCCCAAACACTGTGCCTTAAGATGTGGCTTTATTTAAGTGTGTTTTTCAGTACACAAGCTGTCCTTACTGCTATGTGGTTTGCCTGCTGTAACACTGGAGCAGCTTTTTGATTTATTATTAATGTTGAAGTCTACTGTGTTCTGTTTTATTTTTCCTTTTCTAGAGCATGACTTTGCTTTGGTGTTTGTTTATCACAGCTGGAGGAGGGCAGGAAGGGGGAAATCCGTCCACTGTACTGAGCATGCCACAGAGAGTTTGTTCTCCTTCCAGGGATTGTACTGGGAGCTCCATAGTGCCAGGATATAGGACAGAGTGTTTTTTGTAGTTTGCAAAGAAGAATGCTCTATTGATTGATAAATTCCAGTAGGGCTGGTCTTTTCTGTAATTTAGTCATGTGCAACAAAAGCAGGAAGAATGTGAATTTTCTGTGTAGAAATGATATTGTTTTCTAAGGTGAAAACTGAGAACAATAGAGTATTAGAGTGCTTGAAAGAAGTGAAATGACTATAGTTCATGATTCTGATTAGCCACTTGATTGAAATGGAGGGATTTGTTATGAAAATTTTGTTATATGATTGAGACAGTAATAAATTGGTTGCAAAGATTTTATCCTCTTGTTTTGTGCTGTTTTCCAAATCAGGATAGTATTTCAGGGTAAAACAATGGTAAAAATATATAAAATAGTTACTTGTATTGTTTGAACTGTTTTTTTTTTTTCCAGTTGGCACTTGCAGTTACCTGCCTGACAAATAAACTAGCAGCAAGTACAGTTTCCTAAGTTAATAAACTGGTAATTGAAACTTACAGGTAATGACTGCTTTTTTTGATCTTGATCAAGCAGTTAATAAATTGTCAGCTAGTTCATGTGGACACTCTGTGAT